TCCCTTTAGAAGAGTTTGCTTGTAGTATTCATAGAAAGTTAAATACAGGATGACAGTACAAAAGTTGAGGATTTGTTTCTGTAACAATCACTGGAAATTTATTAAATTGCTTCATTAAGATGCACTTTTCCTGTTTCCGGATAGTAAAAATAAGCTTTCATAGTGCATAATGTGACATTTGAAATGGTTCTCAATTGCACGTAAATGTCTAATAACCTGCCTTTTTTAATTGGAGGGTTTGATGAGCAGTTTCATTTATTGTACTTTAACTGTGAGGTGGAAAGGACTGCATTCTCCATGCTGCTAGATGTAGTGAGGAAAGTTAATTGCTTTGGTATTGCTACTGGACTATGTCTTGGTTCTACAGTTTACTACAGTTTTCAAAGCTATACTGCAGATTGACACACATTGCTCATAGTTACAAGTGTTCTACGTTATCAGCAATAAGTAGTGTGAGTCAGTGAAAATACTGCAAAGTGTCCTTCCTTAGTTTTGAGTTAATGTAAGCTTTGTTAAATATATAGGCTTTTTCCCCAGGGTCAGCATTGACTAAAGGGAAATCTTTACCTGTAAAATTCAGATTCTGCATGGGATCTGATTGGGTGAAGAAGTGCATGGGTTGTGCAGTTCCATTCATACCATTACAGCTTAACACAGTTTTAGCAAAGTGTTGTAACAGTGTCTGAGAACTTGTGGTCAGTGTTTTGTTTTTTGTTTTAAATTAAATCCACATCCAGATATTCTAGGAATTCATAAATGATATGGATGAACGACTAAATGACTGTAAAGGATTTTTCTTTATTTTATTTAGCATCTCTTTTCTTTTTTCCCTGAGGTGCTCGGTACTTTACCAAGGTTCTTTATCTCAGTATTTAAAACAAAATACAGTTGGAAAACCCTGTTTAATGTTAGACAAATAAAGGTAATGGTATATTTGACCATATGTGTTGTTCTAAAAAGACAGTATGCTCAAATGTGCCAAGAAATTTAATTCCTGAAAAGTATGCCTTATATTTTCCTTGATGATATGCTTTTAAATGTCTTGTAGAAAAGGTCCAAGAGGATGATAAAACTACTTTATATGACTAAATGCAAGAAAACTTGAAATTCATTGCAATACTGACATTCGTTTATTTTTAAGTTAAAGGGACACTGTCAAGTAATTTATAATTAAAACATGACCTCTCTTTAAAGCGCTTATAATCTAATGGAGAATGTCCTCCAGATTCTAAGTTCTTTTTTTTTTTTTTGTTTTAAAAAAAAAATTAATGCTCTGTCTCTGAGAAATTAAATAAAAAAATTAGCCACTGTTGATTCATGCCTTTTATTTATTGTTCTGCTTCTGCTGCAAAAGGCAGCCATCCAGCCACAAGGGGAGCAAAAGCTGACTAACAAACCAGAACTGTGCCGAAATCATTGAAGAGGCCTGTGACAACATAGAAGTTTACAAATAAAGCCAAGTTGGCTTTTGCGCCCTATGAAATGGAGTGGGGGGAGGGGAGGAGAGATTCAGCTGTTGCCAAATAGAAAAATGTGGTATAGGGGTAAGGAGTGGGCGTTTTATTTTCAAACTTCTCAGAAGGCGTCCTGTCCTACACAATGGAGAATTTTCAAAATGTAAACCTTTTATTTTAAAAAAATACTTGACAGTGTCACTTTTTGGAGTATCCCTTGCAGGGGTTGAAATTTGCTCAGCGTAGCACTCTTTGGGAAGGAGCGCAAAATTAGCAGTTTACGAAGAACTTCTCAGACATCTAAAGAGTAGAAAGATTGTCCACTTTGACTAGTGAGATATAACGATCATATCGGGCAAAGCAGAAAGCTGCTGGTAATTTTAACCCCTGTCTAGAGCAGGCCTATAACTTTATTTGGGAGCAATTACTTTGTTGCCTTTAAAACAGCTCTGTAACCACTCTTTTTATGATTAGCTATAGTATGACCTTTATCCCTTTCAAACTATGCAAACTATTCAATGTAAATTAGGATTCAATTAAAGATAGTTGATTATATTACAATCAGATGGCATTGATGCACTAACTGGAGTATATACAAATAAAGCTATTAGTATGACTTTTGTATGCTAACAGCAAAATATACCTACCTATTCTAAAAATGATGAACATTAATATTGTATAACAGGACTGCAGGGGTGGGGAGGGAATATATCCTCTTACCTTAAGAGGATTTAATATTTTTATAACTGTTTTCCATAAAACTTTATTTTTGTCAAATTTTTAGGTATTTAATTTGTAAAATAGATTTTGCTTTGTACTAGCATACAGAAAATAGGGTATTGATTTAAACTTTTTGAAGCCACATGATCAAGTAAATTTGTAATAAAAAGTCAATGGATCTCTATTGGTTGTACTCACTGTTTTCATTTCTTGTACGTTCTAATGCAGTGGTGCTATACGTCTCCCAAGAAAAAAGTAAACTGAATTTGGGGAGCAGTCCTGTGGCACCTTAAAGTAGGTTTTACCCACAAAAGCTCATGACCTAATACATGTTCGTCTGTAAGATGCCATAGGACTGCTCATTGTTTTTACAGTTACAGAGTAACATAGCTACTCCTCTGTGAATTTGGGGAGGAATGGAGTGGGATGAGGGAGAAAAAGGATAAATATTGACATAAATTGAAATGATTTTTCATATCCAAGTTACTTTTACTGTTAGTCAGTGACGATTTGGTAGATATGCATTTTTATCTAATGCTAACACATACAACTTTTAATAATTCAAATCTGAAGTTCTTGATTGTGCTTCTTGACATTATGCATCCATCTTTATGTAATCCGGTACCTGTAAACTCTTAAACTGACCCTTGGATTTTTTTTCCTGGCCTTTAAGAAGAAAAAATGCTTAGTCTCCTCAAAGCCTTACAAGGTTACCATGTTATATTTTTGCACCTTTACATGTTTCTTCTCCTTCAAAAGTCTCCCCTGTTTCAAATTCTTAAAGATAAACATTTAAAGCTTTTTAAGCAAAAAATACGCTAACTATTTTGGATTGGGGACTTCAGTGGATTCAGCAACTTTCACAAGTATTATTTTTTTTAAGTCCAGACTTTCCATTTCAAGGCATATACCAAATCTGATTGACTTGTTCCTGTTATTTGTAAAGTTGTCGGGGATGGAGGTGAATATCCTGACATTGATGTACAAGAATTTTAAAACAGGTTTATACTGCTTGGGAACTTGTGCAAAACATGAAAACTCGGTATAACTTAGTGCTGAATTTTCTGTCTTTTGTCAGCTCAGTTTGTAGAAAACGAGCATTGGTATATGATCAGCTAGTTAGAAATTAGATTACTCATTCAGAAACCTACTACTAGTTCATGGTAGTTTTCAGAAAGGTCAGGGATTTGCTGACATTCATTCCGGAGAGTTTTAATGAATACTGTCAAGATTTTTTTAAAATTAAAAATCATTATTTAAAATCAGTTATGCTAATACATTAACTTTTTAAAATTTCCTGGTTTACTCCACCTTCACTTTTCCTCTCCCATGTTAGCTGTCTACTTTTTTGCAGTTAACTCAGTTTGGGTAGTTAAAAAGTCACGGTCAATTTTGACGTCTAAATTTTGACAGCTCAAGTGGTTGAAGGTTCTATCTCTGCTTCTGAGTTTCCTGCCAGTTCATGTGCTTAACAACCATCTTTTATTATTATTTAAAATATTCTCTCTGTACTTAATAAAACTTTTTACTCTTTAACCTGCCCCACAAAAACGGAGGAAACGGAGGATAGCTTTGGTAGTGTGACAGTGAAGCTGCACACACAGTGCTGTCAAAATGATCATTTGTCCTTTTTGTCAAAACAGTCAGTCTTTTTCTCTAATCGTTCAGCTGTGGGAACCTTGCATGTTGCTTGTAAAATGAAAGGTAACTTAAACGAGATTAATGGTGTCCCTTTACACTGGCTAGGTTCACTTCGCTTTCAGTCAGTTTAACACTCTCTGGTTCTCTGCCATTATACAAAAAGCTTTGTGTGGGTTGCAAACATGGCACCGAGGTGTCATCTTTTTTTTTAACTGCTCATGTATTTTTAATATAATGAACTTCTCTAAACCTGATATTTAGACATTTTATTAGCCAGAATCTAAACTTTGGACTTCGTGTTTGGCATTGTTCATTTAAAACTAATCTCTTGTGTGTTTGGAATTACTGAGAGCAATGGTCTGAATGCAAATGAAAAATGCTGCTTTAAATTTTGGCAGCAAGGAATTTTTGTGTGAGTGGAGAAGCCAGGAATAGGTCGGACAGGTCTTCTCAAATGAGTGTGACTCATCTCCTCACTCTCATGTTCATGCTAGATAGTTGTCTTTGGCTTGCTTTGTGTTGGGTTTTTTAAATCTCCCTCTGCTTTTGTTTTTTGAAGTACATTAGTTACTGTGAAAATAGTCATTTGTATGACCAGGGCATTAGAGGCGTACATGAAGGCCATATGAAGTCATCTTATATAGCAGTTTGAAATGTATTCCATGATTAGTGAAATACAAAGCATGGGAAGATTACGAGGGTCAGGCGTTGAGTTTATCTATGTAATGACTCGTAATAGCCCTACATGGCATATGGGAACTGAATACCAAACTCTCTGCTGGCTAATCGGGTAGTTGTAGCAAGTCCCAAACGCTTAAAATTGTGGTGAGAGAAGTATAGGGGGAATTGAGGGTAGAGGATGGATTTGTTTTCTAGGGTTGCTTTTCATACATCTAGTGCATTGTGTGAAACTAAAAGAAACCGAAACAGGATCGTTTGCAATCTGGGTGCAAAGCAAGTCATTTGAACTGGAAGAGGTTATAAAAAAGGAGAGCGGGGTATACTAAAGCGAATAGAAAGACTTTGCATTGAAATGTTGCTTTGAAGATAGCCACAAGAGAATTCTGGACTCCTTCATGGGAGAGCCTATCATTGTGGTCCTTGGAAGGATCTGGCCCAATTTAGATGGTACCCGGATTAGGAAGTAGAGCTAGATGGCCCAGCAGACCTAGATGGCTTTGAAGAAGGTTTATGGTCTAAAACTGCAAGAAGATTGTTCAAGCACCTTCGGCCTACATTAAAGAGTAGATTTATCATCAGCTCTCAAACTTAATGTCTTACCACTATCCAGCATAGCTCCTGGGGAGATGCATGTTACCAGTCCTCTTACCGAACAGACGGTTGCATTCTGCCACAGTCCTTGGCAATATTTTCCAGAAGTGTTACCTTGGCAAGGCGCAGAGGAAGTTCTCAGAGTGAAGGGAGGAGGAGGAATACTTGTTGTGGAACAGTGCCTAAAGTCCCTTTCCCAGACAGCGAGTCCCTAGTCGGTATTTGTTCATCAATCTAAGATGAATTCTCTGCGTTCCAATGCATATGACCTCCACTTCAGACGTGCTGTGAGATTGGCATGTCGGCATCCCTCCCCCCAAGTTGCATGGTAGCGTAAAACCTGCCCAACAAACTGGTAGGTAAGCAGGAGTGACACGGTAGGTCCCAGATGGTGAGAGGGGGAAATAGTCCCATTTACGGAAGTCCGGTGCTGTACAGTTCATTGGGAACAAGGTATACGCGACTCTGCCACCTGCAATTCTAGTAAAACCCAACAGCACAGTGGAGTGTTGAGAGATGGGAGCATATCAGGTCTATATCTTCAAAAATCAGGTAGCAATTGATGTGCAGTAACTCCGTGAGGTGTAGGAGCACAGAAGGGAGATGGCTGGATTCTCTTCTGTGAAGCAATTCTGTATCTCTGATGCCACTATGGCTGTACCAGTGTAACAGAAGAAAATGTGGTTCTAAAAGTCGTATGTAGAGGGCAGTTTGCACAGGACTGGAGTTCTACCTGTGTTGGGGCGATTTCTTTGTGTGTGCAAATTATCTCTCTTCTCAGCTGCCTTGCCATTTCCTGATGACCATCCGGGGCTGTCGTAAGTTATTTGTCTCCATGTCAATTCCTGGCCTCCTTTTTCCATTTTGTTTTTGAGCTCGGATTAGGGGACTTCAGGCATGGATGTCATACGCTGGCCTCCTCACCCACCACGCTTGTTAGCCTGTCAGATTGGGCCCTTCGGTCTGATGGAGCCTGTTCGGAGGTAATAGTACTCAGCCGACTCTTTAGCTGGTTGTCCCGCTCATGACCAGTAGGTTCAGCATCACTTCTGTTATTGGCTATGAGAAATGGAGGCCCCTACATGGCCTTCTCTTTGGCGTTTTGCTCCTGAGACACAGTAATGAGGGGAATTAGAGCTGAGCACGGAAGACGTGGACTAAGCCCACCGTGTCATGGTGGAGTCTTCTGAGGAAAGAGGCTAATTTGCCTCTACTGTTGACCACAGGGATGCTGAGGAAGCTTTGGGCAAGAACTTGTAGCTTCGATCGAATTTGGAACCCTCTTGGCTAGTGAGAGCCAATAGGACAATGTGAAGGCTGTTCTAAGAGCTGATTGGCAGGGTCCGCTAAGTGATACTTCTGTTGAAGTGCCCACTTCTCTTACCAAAATGATTAGGCCCTGGCTCAAAACAAAAATCTTGATGCTGACAAACTTTTCCTTTTATCATCCAGTTTGAATTGTCTGTGGAGAAGGCTGTAGAAAAACCGTCCCAACGGCACCTGGATTCCTCGGGTCATCTTGATCCATGCCAATCTGGGGTAATCCTGACAGAGACTGAGACTATGCCTGGGGGTAGGATGTTGCTGGCTGCCTGGTGGCAGATGTCTTAACCCAGGGGCCCCCAGCCTGTGGCTCCAGAGCCGCATGCAGGTCTTCAGAAGTTAACACGTGGCTCCTTGCATAGGTGCTGACAGCAGGGGGCGGGAGTTACAGGCACTAACTTTCAAGTGTGCCGGGGGGTGCCCACATTTGCACCAAACCCTGCCCCCACTCCACCCCTTCTACCAAGGCCCCCGCCACTTCCCCGAACCTTCTGTGCTCTCGCTCCTACTCAGAGCCTCCTGCCAGCCGCAAAACAGCTGATTGGGGGAAGGGGTGGAAGTGCTGACAACATTGCTGTGTCTCTTTGACAATGGACATTGGTAAATTTTGGCTTTCTCTCAGGCTCAGGTTGGCCGCCCCTGTCTTAGCTGATTAATAGAGATCTGTTAGTTCACTTGGCCAGGAAACCTTCTGTGCTCTCGCTCCTACTCAGAGCCTCCTGCCAGCCGCAAAACAGCTGATTGGGGGAAGGGGTGGAAGTGCTGACAACATTGCTGTGTCTCTTTGACAATGGACATTGGTAAATTTTGGCTTTCTCTCAGGCTCAGGTTGGCCGCCCCTGTCTTAGCTGATTAATAGAGATCTGTTAGTTCACTTGGCCAGGAAGAGGTGTTGACTCTCTGCATGAGCATATGAAATCTGTCCTGAGTGGCTCAGTTCCCTTTTTTCTGAGAGATCCCATGGCCTCGGTACTTGGTCATGTGTGCTAAGTGGTCCACTGAGTCATGCTCGGCCCTCTTGTTCCGTGTACGGAGGAGTTGTAGGTCTGGTCGGTGAGGAAATGCAGCCGATGATGTCATTGGTGTGAGGCATGTGTGAAACCTATGTCTGTGTTGGTCCCATGTAATCTGGCACAATATCATGCAGCCAGTGCCTAGCTGAGCCTGGGACTTGAATAAAGACAAAGCGGCAGAGGGTCAGCTCATACAAAACTCAGATCATTCTTGTTGGCTGGAGTAAATGGTTTGAAGACTAGGCAGGGGGCTCTTTTAGTTTCCCTTATTTGTAAGGGTTCTCTGGTTTTTGTGACCCCGGTTCACTGCCTTCGGGATTATTAAGTTCTCAACTGCTTCTGGATGATTAGGCACCAGCAATGGCCAAGAACGCTGACTTTCTGTAACTCCCTGTTGCAGGTCTTTGAGATGTGTTGGCCAAGTGAACCTCACTGGGTATTCAGAAGGCCTATCAATGCTGGGGACCCATTCTGTCAATGTCTGCCTTTTTCCTTCTATGATCCCACGTGACTGGAGATCAGCAGAGGGGCTCAAATCCAGAAGCCTCTGCTACAGTCCTGAGGATTGGATGTTGGGCAGCCTAGCCTGTCTTCAGAGAGCAGCTCATGTCTGTGGAATCTGCTTTCTGCATCAGTCCAGCACAGCTAGTGGTTCCATTTCTGGGCAAGCTGTCAAGATTTTGGGGACTGGATTGTTTTAAGAAGGGTGCATGAAGATGGTTGTACTGTACTATGCAGAATAAGCTGGTGGTCCTTACTGGCCTTACACTCTATGGCTTTTGGGGGGTGGTATTATAACTTCCAATAAGGTGAGTAGAAGAGTCCATAACTTGCCATCAGTTTATCAGAATGTTGAATTTTTAATGGAGCAATGCTAGTCTATATGAACTCTGTGTGGTGGAGGAGCGGGGGGAGGGGAATAGCACCTGAGGAGGATTAGATGGTGTTTTCTTTCAGGTTTTCGTAAGAGGGATTTTTTTTAATGACTTGTCTATAGACTAAGATGGTGGAGTTGTTACTCCTGGGACATGCTTGTTAAAGGCAAGACCAGACAGAAAACAATGGATGTGGATTTTGTCTCAGCACTGCATGGCAGTGTTGCAGGGTGATGGATTACAACAGGGCTGGGCAAAAAATACAGCCCACGGGCCGCATCCGGCCCACAGGCCAGCGAGGAGCCTCAGACAGGCCCTCAGCCTGCCTCAAAAGCTGCTCAGAAAAGCAGCTGCAGGGGCCCTGTTTGTCTTTGAACAGCTGCAAGCCCGGGGGAGAGGCTTAGCATGTTGCCCCCTAGCACAATCTCATTGGCCAGTTTCTAGTCAATGGGAACTGCCTGTTGGAAGAGCAGACAACACATGAAGTATCCTTCCTTCCCCTCAGCCTCGCAATTATTCACAGCCACACATAGCCTGTGTGGGGGCAGGGCAGGCAGGGAACCTACCTGAGAAACCTGCTGAGCTGCTGCTTGGGAGTCACCTAGGTAAGTCTCCCGGCCAGAGCCCGCATCTGGCACCTTAGGCCCTTCCAAACCTCTCCCCTCCTCCTACATCCATAGCCAACATAACCCAAATCCATGCCCTCCCTTCCTACACCCATACCCCCTCCCAGACCCTGCACTCCAATCCCCTGCCCCAGGTCACAACCGCCTCTTTTACCCAAACTCCCTCGCAGATCCCACACCCTCTTCTGCACCACAGTCCCTTACCCCAAGCTCCCTTATTCACCCAACCTCCATCCCAGACTCCATACCTCCCCCATTAATATCATGGAAAAGTACAGCCCTGGATCACTTTTCAGATTTTTGTAGAGTTTTCCCCCCCCACCACCACCCTCCTTCAAAAATTATTGCCCCTCTCTGGCCTGCAAGCTATTTTCTGCAATTAATATTTGTGAATTAAATATTTAAAACTGATATGTAATGACTTTTGGCCAGTGTATGTAGTGGAGTTTGCAGATAGGCCTTTTGATCACACTGCATTAAGAGCTTGATTCAGCAAAAATATGTTGGACTTCCATGCTGCATTAGGCAACAAAAGTTCTGGGAAATTGGTTTCTGCAGGTGTTGCAGAGCTATACCGTAACTTGTGTGCTGAATCAAACCCTTTGGTTGGTGGCCCAAAATAAAGCCACTGGACCTGGGCGTGGTTGTCACTGAAAGATAAATCTTAGTAACTAGGAACAGTCATAATTCTTAGTTTGGTTATGGAGGTATAACAGATTAACTATGGAGATCACTGCACTGGGGACAGAATGGCTTGCTTGCCTTGTAGATAAATGACACATCTGTACAAGCAGTGCCAGGAACTGGGAGTCCTTGGAGCCTCAGTTCAGCATCTGGAAGCCAAAGACCCTGCAAGGCGGAGGAGAGAGATGGAATTACAGACAAAACCAGCATCTGTAGACATTGTAAATCAGGTTCTATTATCTCTGCTTTGGCTTCATCAGACCTCCACTTGAGGAAGCCTGGCTTATGGCTGGTGAGCGGCAAGGCAGAGTGGAGGGGCAAACCCTTGAGGCTCTACCTTTGATAGAGAAGAGACTGTTCTTCGCACACCAGAGTGGGCCCCTTCAGAAGATAGTTGTGAGCCGTAGAGGGACTATCTGGTGGCAGAGAAGCAGATCATTAGAACTATGGATAGCCAAATGCATGGCTACTGTGAGAGCCATCTGCTGACTTGCTTCTCAGCTGCACAGATAACAGACACCTAGGTAAACTTCTGACAAGTGCTGGGGAGAAGCTTGTGGTTGTGGTACTTACTAGAATCCATGATGTGGAGGTGTTTGGAAATCTACATGTAGATACCTAGGAAAGAGGCGTTTGGCCAGTTTATGTAGTTCAGTGTGCGGATAGGTCTTTTGATCACACTTCATTAAGATCTTGATTCAGCAATATATATGCTTAGGATGTTGGGGGTACCTTTTTCTGAAATGCTGTCGTAGCAGGCTTTGCATGTTGCAAGGCATGGAGGCACTTTGGAGATGGGCGGCTGAGAAGAGATTGCAGAAAGTATGGAGGGTAAATAAATTAGGTGCTGAGGAGCTTTGGAGGGTAAAGCTGGCCTAGCTGATCGATTGGGTTCTGCTTTAATCCCAAGTGATACCAGACCAGTGACATAGGAAGCTGATGAGGTTTTGGGAAGATTAAACGAGGAGCTGAGGGAACGCTGACGGGCGCAGTGGAGCAGCGGGACCGGATTAGGGCATCTGCTTGGGTTGTCAGTGATAAAATGGAATCTCTGCATATAGGAGAGAATTTGCAGTGGAAAATATAGCAAAGGCAGGCTGAGACTGCAGCAGTACAGCCTAGAAAAGGACAGGGTGTCAGATGAAGGAGTTAAGTAAGCACTAGGCATACCGCCAGCAATAAAAATTAGAAGTGTTTTGTACCAGTGCGAGAGGCTTACATATAGATGAGCTAGAATGCCCAGCAATGGAAGAGGGCCTTGATGTGATAGGCATTATTGAAACATGGTGGAATCCTAAGGAGCAGAGATGCTGTGATACCTGGCTATACAAAAATAGAACAAGGAGAGACTAAGTAATAGAGACCATGGAGTAACTCTGTACCTAAAACATTTCCATCAAATCTGAGAGAACTGGAATCGAACAACATATATTAGAATCTGCATAGAGACAAGTCCCAAGTCATAAAGATACAAATGCACAAGTACGTTACTGTCTTCCTGGTCAGGAAGAGACTATTGACTATTCATTGTTGAAAGAGAGAAAGAGGCAGTTGATTCTTCATAAAACTGTAATAAGGGGTTATTTCAGCTACCCATGTATGAACTGGTCAGGTCTTACAATAGAGCACAATTTGGAGAAGTAATTTCTTGACACCTTAAATGATTGCTTCTTGTAGCAGTTTATTCCAAAGAGATTCTTGATTTTTAGGATTAAATAATGCACAGGCATTGATTTAAGAAATATAGTTCAGCCATTAAGGAATACCTAAAACCAACCTAGTAATACTAAATTTAGGAAAAGAAAATTTCAGGAAAATGAGGATTCTAATAAAAAAGACTCTAACATCAAAAGGGAGGGAGGTAAAATCCTTAGACTCGGCAAAGATGACAGTTAAGTATCACAAAGCTCATAAAGATCCAAGAAGGTAGCCACGGATCTGAAGTTAAAAGAAAGCAGGGAGTCAGGCACAAATTAGTATGGTTAAATGGCAAGGTATAAGAGTTCCTGGAATCACACTAGTATCTTTCTGAAAATGGAAGCCCAACCCAGGTGAAGGGGCTAGAAACCTATGGCAGGTAACATGGAAAACGGTGATTAGGAGGGTTGAGGGTTTTTGAAGAGCTAGAGAAAATGCAACCTGAAGTGTCTTAGAGGCAGGAAGGCTATGATGAAATTTGAGCTCACTGAGGTATAAGGCTGTAAAAGGAGCAACGAAGGCCCATGAGGATTTTGCAGAGAAGCTGAGTGACTTGTGCAGTGAAACTGATGCAGAGAAGAGTTTTGAGATACCTGAACGTGATCGTCTCTTTAAGAGAACCTCATTTTCCTTGTTTGATTGGACGGAAGTGTCCAAAGAGGAGCTGCTGGAACAAGCTAATAAATTAAAGACCCGTGATGACCAAGACCAGAGTTCATCTAAGATTTCTGAAGGAACTTTGGAATGAAAAGGCTGAGTTGCTAATTAGGATACAGATCCTAATTAGCCCTCTAAAATAAATGCCTCAACAGTAGGCAATATTGTACCTCTTTTTAAGAAAGACATTACGGGTGAGCCTGGGAATTACAAACCAAAGACGTTTACTTCAGTACCAGGCAGACTAGTTGAAATAAAACATCTAGAGGAACACGATTGGGCCACACCAGCCTGCCTTCTGCGAAGGAAAACTGCACCTTTAATAATCTACAAGGATGTTTCGGATACATCGGCAAACCAGAGGGTAACGTAGGACTAGCTGACCTAATGTATTTGGATATCATAAAGCCTTCGTCAGTTCCTCCAAGAAGCTACTTAGGAAACTGAGTAGAGGGTGGGAGGAAAGTAGTGTCTGGAGGTGGGGGCAGATTATCTTGCTTGTTCTGGCCGTTGTGTACCACTCTGGCAGCACACAGTGATCAGGATCGTGGGCCAAAGTGGCCACCTGAGAATTCCCTCAGCCTGGGAGAGTTCTCAGTTCCCGCTGGCTGTGGGAGTGGAGTGTGCTTGTGTTTTCCCATTGCTCTACTGTACGTACAGGCCCCCGAGACAGCTCTCAGGGCTGCTGTGGCTGCTGACAGACCAGGAAAACCATCCTGAGCTCCCTGACTAGATTGTGGTTCAGGAGAAAACCTCAGTCTGGGAGGATGAGAAACTGGCTAAGGAACAGAAAACAATCGGATACTTTCGTCATAGGAACAAGGTTAACGTTGGGTGCCTGAAGGTTCAATATCAGAGCCCACGTTTAATGTGTTAACTGATGAGTTAGGAGGGGGAACAGGAGGGCTATGTAGGTTACCCAAGCCTTGAGAAGGCTGAGGAATATAAGCGGGGCCTGGCAAAGCAAGGAGACTAGGCAGATGGAACTGAATATTGAGTAATGCCCTCTCCTTCCCCCCCCCCCCAAAAAAAAAAGTTCAGTGGAAGAAATAACTTGCAATCCCTCGGCTATGTTTTTGGGTTTAAAAGCACGTAGGATGCATGAAGAATGGCATAGAAAATGGGGAACACTCTCTATGCAGACAGCGTATTGGATTAGGACGACTACTGATTTCCAGTTCACTTTATTACTCCAGTCTGTGATTGTTGGGCCACAAATAAACTCTGTTACCTGCTAAGGCACTTGGTGAGCATATAAAACGCTGACATTAGTTGTAATTTGGATCCTTCCCATGTTGTAGCCCATGAGGCTTTCTTAATTGCTTGGATTTTTATTCCAGATTGAGTGCCTGAGCAATGTTCTGAGGTCAGAGTGTATTAAACACTTAAAGCTTCATTGTTTTTAATACTGTAGTTTAATAGGTCTCCAGGACTTTCCTGTTTTTTCTCCTTGATGAGTTGGCAGTTACCCAGTGAAAGTTTTAGTTTTTGGAAAAAAGCAGATTTCCCCCCAAGCATTAATTTCAATATAATCCTCACAATTTGTAGCTTAAAGTATATCATCAGGTTTGCAAAGTTGCATAACATAGAACCCATTTTGCCTGCCTGACAGCAGTTGGCTATAGGAAGATCCTGTAATCTACCGTGCTTGCTGTTGAATGATTTGAGTTCTGATCCTTCGTATGTGCACTGAGCCGAGGGAGAGTCCCCTGACGATCAAAGGCTCTGCAGGCTCAAGCCTTTCACAGTTCAAGTTTTCATATTTGTTATGTTTTAATCTGGGATTAGCTAGAAAAATGTGTATAGACCAGTCAGAAAAGACCTTCTTGCATTGATGATTGTATTGCCTGGTCTAGTAATAGTGGTAATTCTTAATTTTCTAGATTGTATGTCAAGTTATACGACGACAAGCCTGTTTTTATTCTGAGGTATTTTTAGAGCAGGCATTTAATTTGTAATATTACTACTTTTTTTTTCAAATGTATTAAGTCGATCTGCCTTCAAATATTGTAGTTCAAATACTTCACAGTTATTGTTGGGGCTCTATAAATGGGATTCTGTACTTGTCTACACGTTGGCTTGAGCTTAGTCTGAGTGCCAAAGGTTTGAAGAGGGGAAAATGCTGTGTATATATTATGTCTTTCACCACATAATATATACAGGGATGTCAAGTCTTTTTTCCCGCATTTTATCTGTTGTGGGTCTCTGTCGGAGGACCCACGGATGTGGGTTGGGAGCATTCTCAGCTCTTAAATGGGGGCTGGAATAGGGAGGGAAAAAAATCACTCTGTTTTTAAAAAACTTGGTAGGCACTCAAATAATATCATGATGGGGATGTTGTCTCGTCAGGGGTTTTTCAGCTGTTAGATGTCTGAGACAAGTAGGTGTTAGATTTAAAAATAAAAGTTTTAAGTAGTCTGAGTGGGGGAAAAAAAATTCCTTAATTGATCAGATTTCATTTCCAAGATAGCTGATGCCATAAATCTACTCAGTCCCTAATCCTCTGCAGTCTTCCAGGAAACGCAAGGTAGACACGACCTGAATTGTTAATATAAAACAGGTAGGAAAATAAACCTTCATTTGAAAACAAAACTCTTTTAGATCTTTTTCAGCGACCGTAAAGACAAGCAAAAGGGGGTACGTATTTCCTTTCCCCATCTGCTTTAAGGCCAAACTGCACTTTTCTGGCAAGAATGCCACAAAGTAGAGAATCTGTGCAGGAAGGAATGTGACTTATTGGGGCGGACACGTATCCAGTAGTGTCTGACCCTAATGCTGCAGCTAGGGAAAAAACTGGGCAAGATGGAGGCATGTTCAGTGGGTGCATATTCAAAGACCCAAATCAGCGTGGGAGGGGGGTCAGCAGGCTGCAAAGTGCTAATTTCATCCGAATCAAATAACATGGAGTTGACAGCATAGGCATCCAGGAGTGTATGTTTGGAAGCGGATTCCTTCCACTGCGCTTCAGCTCACGTCTCTCAGAGTAAAGCTTCATTTGCTTGGGCTTTCCTCTGTGTAATGGTCCTTAGTGGTCTGACTCCTGTAAGAATTACATGCATGAGGGTGACCTTGAAACTTGAAAAGGTCCAAGTTCTCTGCAGTTCTTGTCCCAGTGTATGTTCTCCCATGCATGTGTATGTAATGCCTAGTAAGATTAATACGTTTCACGAGTTAAATATATAAACAAAAAAATGGCCAGTTTGTAAACAGGCTCATTGGTGGAGTGTAATCCCTTCTGTAGTGCCACGGTATTTTGTATTTCAGCCACACGCATTCTTGTATCTTAAAAGGTACAATAAATAAAGAAATCTCTATTTGTAATGCCATTCACATACTTGGTGAGCTGGTTTACTGTAGCTGTTAAGTTTGTGTTTAGGAAGTTAAATGTAGTCAGTATTCAAGATGTCATAAACTTTAATCCTAAATTTTGACTACCAGAAAAATTAAATGAGGAATTTTTTTTTTGTCCAAACATTATGTAAAGTTTTGTTTTTCCTTTGTATTTAGGTTATTATAAAGCTGTTGTTTCTTTTTAGCCATGACACATTGTTCTGTTCCATTGAGGTTTCTAGTCATCTTAACCTTACATTTGTAAATACTATTGAGAATATAATGCTATGTAAAAATGTGTCAGTGGCTCATGTCATATGTTTCTGTGGTTTGACTCAACCACCGAATTCTGGAACTTCTTGTACTTTGTACTTTGTTTAGATGTTAAACTTTTAACTCTTCTTCTCATGTCCAGTGTGGACCAACTCTTTATTTTTGGAAATAAATAAGCATGTAAATAAAATGAAAGGGTTTATAACCACTTATAAGAAAATTCTTTATTTGAAGTCAGATAAATATTGTATATTTTATGATATCTCATGTGGTGGGATAACAGAATCCCAGAGTCTGAAATCCAAGCAGTTGTCAGGACAATGAGATGCCATACGATGTACAAGTGAATTTCTTTTAAGTCATTCTGAAAAGGGCATCAGTTTCCCAGGTCCCGTCAGTCAGTCATCTTCCAAGAGTGCTAACTACAGTGTTTTGGAAAGTGGGGGGTGGGAGGGTTCAGAAGGAGATATATAGTTTTATTTCAACATGAGGCTTCTGGTTTGGGGCACTTTGCCAAAATAAAAATCTGTTAGATAAGGGGCAGGCCCATGGGTGCTCAGCAGTTCAATTTGAAACTGTCCTATCCGCCCCTACTGTGAAATTCTTTAGAACTATAGAAGTTTAACGTATGGAAATCAGGAACACAATGACATTTTTTTTTCTCCATATAAACCAATATTTACCAGTAATCCTGTGTTTCTGTTTTTGTTTTTTGGCAGACTTTTACCAGTAAATATCGGTTTATTCCTGAAATCAGAAGCCCTAAACATACCTTTGTTTATAAGGTCAGTTGTCATTTCCTCTCTATCCTCCCCCATTTAATATAAATTATGTGATCTCTCAGGTAATTGAAAGGTACAAAATTTTCTTCCTAGTTTTTCTCCTCTGCACTACCGAAAAGGGAATTTACGGGACCTAGAGAACATCTGTCGGTAATGTAGATGTAATTTACAAATTACTGGTAGGTTTCCAAAAAAAATTTGAAATTTTATTTTTCAGACTATCGGAGCTTGTGTAAACTGGTGGTGGGTGCTCAGAGAAAACCCCTAAATGTTTATACTTAGGAGACTTGTACTTCACAATAGTGTGTGTAGTTCTGTTTAAATATATTTATTCATAGTACTTATCTGAAAGTATTCACTAGAAAAATCAAAATTCTCTCTTGCAAGAGGTAAAGGGAAAAACAATTTGAACATGATCTTTTTTTTTTAAACTTCATAAAAATATGCTTTGAAGTTGAGAGAATAATCAAATAGTGAAATGTTCAAAACTTAAAAGGACATTGTTGTTTAGACCCAAAGTTTAGATTTTCTGGTTATTAAAAAAAAAAAAACTGGGTAGAAATACATTTGACAAAATAAATTTTTATTCATAAAAACCAAAAAGAGGAGTTGGGAGTATTTAAACTCCTCTTTATAATGTTTGCAACCAAACACAACTGCATTGTGCTCATACTGAAGAGACAGAAGCTAGCAAAGGAATAGAAAATGAAGCTGACTCAACAGGCCAGCCAAATTTCACTCTCCAGAACATGTGAAATAAAAAAAGTTAAAAAAAAAATAATTTTAACTATCTACAGCATGCATAATGCAAGACTATTTTCTATAGCAGTTCAGCTGAACAATGTCCCTTTAAGGAGATGCAGCACAATTTGTAAATTTCTTCCTGGATGTGTTTCATTATCTTGGTTGGTTTTGTGGTCTCGGAACAAATCAAAGCTTTTGCACCCTTAGTTGGAGTCCGTAATGGCCGGAGTCTTCAAGCAGTATGCTTTCTGAGCTGAAAACTACCTTTCCTCCCCTTTTGCAGCCTGTGTGGTTCTGACTGCTGGTAGTTCTGTAGTACAGCAGCTTTAATCTGAGCAATCGAGAATGGTCCTACATTATATACAGTTGGCTTCAGGAGGACTTGTGTTCCCAGTTTGGTACTCAAATGCTCCATCCCACCATGAGAAGTCACTTTAAAAGGCAGTGATAGATTATCCTCTTTAGCACTAATGGAAAATTACATTGCAAAGCAGCTTTATTATGAACCTTTCCTATATTTATAATTCCCTTGCCATCCCAACTTGGAGATAAAGGCCTGTTAAAGGTTATATATTACTCTGGATTTTTCTTACTGTAAATATTGTAATTTTACAATACTGTCAATATTTTATTAATTTACAAATATTTAACAAAGTTTAATCTGTGTGAGTTCAGATTTATTTAATAGTGTTCCACTTCCGTGGTTTCTGCTGCAGTCAGTATTGCATTATATTCTATGTAAGATTAACTTGCATTTAAAAAGAAAGTTAAGACTGATTTAAATCCATCTTTCTGGGAGAACAAAGTACAGAAGTGATTCTCTTCTTTGAAATGTAACACTTGCACTCTTCAGGCCCAGTGCTAAGATAATTTAATGAAATACTACCATTACAGATTTTCAAAGCTAATGCAGCTAAACAATGCACTTGGAACTTGTTACTTGAAAACTTGAGAATACTTTGAATGTTAAATGGCTTTTCTCAGCCAGTTTTCAGTGATTTTTCTGCATTATCTAATGTATCTAAAATCTTAACTTTTTTTATAATGAGTAAAGGGACGTTGTCTGATCAGTTTTAAGTTTTTGTAAAAGCAAGGATTTGGAAAGGTTGAGTTTGATAGAAGTGTTTTCATTATTTTCTTAAAAAATTCCAATGAAAACACATTTTGTATTAGTTTGACTGTATGCATTTGCCATAGCAGTGTTTGCATCCCAAAGATTGCAGTGTGGTGGCTATGGGTGAGCCAAAAAGCAGCTGGAAACTGACTAGATGCAGAACCTGAAATCTTTCTCATTGTCCAAATTAAAGGCCCAAGCCTATGCCCTGGAAAGTCACTGGCGAAGCTTTTACAGAAACCAGGAACAGGCCTTGATTGAGCACTTTCTTCATCTCCCTCAGCACTGATGGTGAAAATAAATTAGATTGTCCACAATTCTTTATTTTACTAATTGAAGGTTCTCTAAAGACATTTTTTTTACAATTAATTTTTTTAACCCGATCGTGTCCCTTTAACAGTTCAGTTTTCAGATGTTCATGTTCTTTGCAGAATTATCAAAAGCCAGTATTTTTTTTCCCTATCAGAGGCCAGGGAAGACTTGATCTTTCATGTATTTGCAACATGACTCTCCTTAAAGGATCCAAAATATCACAAAGGTGTTTGTGGGAGGTGGTACATTTGGGTTTACAAGTTAATCTTTATTAGAGATGTGCCAATATATGCTGCTTTATTGTAGTGTTGTTGTTTTATATTTAGGCATTTTAGCTAATTTACAAATATATACTGTAACAGTATACTTTGTACAGATTTATTTAAAATTTATTTGAAAATTGAAATAAAGTAGGCAAAAAATAAAGATGTTTATTTTTCATTTGACTATAAGCAGCTAACATTTTTTTGGTTTTAGTGTACTTGAGCACCAAACAATCTCAGAATGATCAAATATTTTAGTTGAAAGGCCACATTTCAGAAACTCTGTGGCTATGTGTATGTGTATCTGTATTGTATGTAGACAACTGTTAACTCTGGAAATGATGAAGTCATACTCGTGTTACCATTCAGAAGAAAGCTTTTCATAGTTTGACTCTATTTTCTCTGTTTTAAGACAAAAAGGAATTTATTTTTTGTAAGATGTTTATGAAAGGCCTGCCGTCTGGCTTCTCCAGTCAATGTTTAAAATTCCAGAGTGGGGGTGATTTCTTGTTTAGCCCTTGCTGATAGACCAAAGTCAGCTTTGACATCATATTGGGGTGCTGCTCAAATCTGTGTTTTATGTTGAAGTCAAAAAGCAAAGTAAGAAAAATCAAGATGTGAACTTCACTAGAAAACAAATTCTTCACTGTACAATAGAATGGATATCTCTAATCACTCTGTCGTTAATGATAGATTCTTATTTTTTGAATTATCTATTTAAAAACAGCAAGCATTGTATTTGCTAGTAAATATAAAGTGTTTACATGTAATTACTTAATAAATTATTTGATTTAAGATTGCTCTTACGGTGCTGATTTTTAATGCAGAAACATAATTTTTGACTAATGTCTTTCAGCTCATGCTGCTGTTTAAGGCATCAGTTTGTTTTAAAAAAAATACTGAGGGAGACAGAAAACATATGTTTCTCCAAGATTTCTGACAGGATTACTATGTAACATTTTCCAACGTTATCTGCATCGTGGTATTTCTCTTTCCTCTCAAACAAATTATAATGCCGAAGTGGAGCAGTATGCTAATAGCTGAACTATTGCCAACTAATGGTATTACATAGCCACAGTTTTTTGTTTTAAAAAAAATACTGAGGGAGACAGAAAACATATGTTTCTCCAAGATTTCTGACAGGATTACTATGTAACATTTTCCAACGTTATCTGCATCGTGGTATTTCTCTTTCCTCTCAAACAAATTATAATGCCGAAGTGGAGCAGTATGCTAATAGCTGAACTATTGCCAACTAATGGTATTACATAGCCACAGTTTTCACTTGGTGAATCTTTCAGCTGACAGTGGCTTGTTACAAGGAAACATCATGTTTCAAGGCGATGAATTCTAAAGCCTGACACTGAGTGAATTCAAACAGGACTGATGGAATGGTCCTTACATTCTTCCTCTGTGAAAACTTTGTGGGGGAAAGTCAGTTGCTGACTGGAGAGAGAGTTCAGTCAGTCACATCCTGAAGCTGCCCATAGCTGTTCTGTGGCCAGCTGTGGAAGAGCTGGAGAAACCCACAAGAGGTATCCCCAGATGGATCAAAGTCATGGGATCTCAGTCTGAGGGGTGCAAGGAAGTGCAGGGGCTCACAACCTCCCTCTCTATTTATGCCTTAGATAGGTCCCAAAACACTTCTGTCTTCTAATGGGGACTGAGAACCACTGTTGTTCTCTGATTATTGAAGCCATGGGTGGTAATGATGCATGACTTAGAATGCTAGGGTTAGGGACTGTGAAAGTGTTAAGACTTTATCAGTGTTGGAGAAAATCCAATGGGCAAGGTAATGAAAGGGGTTGCTGGAGTTTTGAGTTCAGATCAAACTCTAGCTTGGGTCTCATAGGGTTGGTCTCATCCTAGACCCTGATAGTGACATGATGGAATCAGGCCATAGTTCAAGGAGAGTGCTGGTCTCTGCCCAAGAGAAGCAGGGACTAGACAGGTAAGAGGTTGGATTGAGTGAATATGGAGGCACAATTAAAGGGACGGGCCTGAAATAACTGAGCTGTTGGGACTTACGACTGAGGTGTGTGCATGGAGTTTGTACAGAATCGGGCCACTCTGCCATGCTCAAGCTATTGCCATCCGTTCTTTATTAACCCTGCAAGCACTGAAAATACAAAGAATGCAGTCTGTTTCTCTACCTCGGCTCTGCAGACAGCTTTTGGTGCAGCATACTAGTTAAGCCACCGTGTTTTGGTTTAATGTGCTCAATATTAAACATTCTATTTGGAAAACTTGTCTTACGTTGACAACCTTAGGGGGTTGGAAATGGATTTTGTGTACACTTTATTGAAGAAAAGAATCGAGTTAGAGATGAGCAAAATCTGAGATTAACCCTTTACTACCTCATCGTTGTCGGAGCCTTGTTCTGATGCCCAGCGGAGGAGTGAGGCTAGGCAACATTGCATTCACCTGAAAAGCACCTTCACGCAAGTCTTCGCACACTTCCATGCGTGTGTGCAGACCCAGCTCTCATCCAGTAGTAGAGACTCGAGGTCATGCATGCCAGTAAACCCAAAGCGAAAGCCCTCTTTCTCCAGCTTAATCCTGCGTGTACACAGATGCTCCAACTCCAGATACTTAGACATCCTACTAATTCTCCTTGTATGCAGCATTTCCTCATAGGGATATGGTGTGTGGGTGCGTTTAGTTTAATTCACAGGAACTTCCTTTCTCAACTGGAGAAGCTGAGGTTTCAGACAGTGCGGAAGTACATGACCCTACACAACACATAGATTGAATTCACTATCTGGGCTTGGGCCAACAATTCATTAATTTGATATCCAGCTTCAAGCCCTGGCCAATATGCAGCACTTCAGAAGAAGGTGAAAACTTTCACAAGGCACTTGGCTAAATTGTGTAGTAGTTTTACATGTCAAGAGAATGTTTCCTGACCTTCTGCTGCAAATATCTGCCAGTGTGAATCCTATTTGAGAGCATCTTTCTTAGTATGCGTAATTACAGCTATTGGTCATAAAATTATCCATCCCTTCTAACAATCCAGCTCCCCCATTTCCCTTTTGTAAAAATGGGAATGTTGCTAAGAAAATTATCTTTAATCTCTGGCCACCATTAGTTGGCATGGATGGCCATTATAAAAGATAGTAAATTGGTCATATGGCAACAGGGCTCTGTTGACTCCTGCAGGTACTCTCATTTTGCTTGTTTGGAAAATCAAATGCAAATAAAGCATCTCACCAAAACCAACCACCATAAGCTTGTCTCCATTTGTGTGTTAATTGTCTGTATCAATTTTTGGTGGTTGATGTGGATAGATACTGTCTGACAGTATGAACTCCGACAGGAGGAGTATTCTGCCTTTTATTGAGAGCGCCACTTGGGTTCAGAGATGGGGATTTCTGGATACAGAACCACTAGTCAAAACAATTGTCTACAGTGGCCTGTGCAACACGGTAATTTACCATTTACTCTGAAAATTGGTTTCTTCAGATTCTTAAAGATCAGATGTGCCATTGTAGGAGACCATCTGAGGCCGGAGAGTTCAACATGGAGTTTGCTTCTGCAGTTAAGATATTTTTGATTGTCATCAAAACATAGCGGTGATGGTGATTTACGCCCCGAGTTCCAACTTTTCAATGTCAGGGTCGTTCAGGAGCATGCTGTTTCTTTGGCAGCCCACTAACAACAACAGAAGGCCCAGAGCTCAGTGTGCACTCTTCCTTTACAACAACCTCTTCACCATCACTGTCCCACAAAAAGCAACAGCACTGATTGGAAGCCCTTCGCTTTGGACATGTTACCCCAGACAAAGTTGAACTTTCAGGGTCACTACTAGATGCTGCAAGTGGAGAAAGAGAAATTAGAAGGGGAAATAATAACGTGGCATGGCCATTGAACGTAAAAAGTTGACCAAGCATGAGAAATAACCCGATAATGGCTAAAAGCTCCCACCTAAGGAAGAATGCCTTTCCACTTAATGCAATGGATTCTACAACTGGAAAGAAGGCTGCAGAGGACTGAAGACAAAGTACTAAAGATGCTGTCCAAAAAAAGTATAACAAAGGATTCTGGGCTATTTTCTCAGACAGTGAAACTCCGAGAACGTATCGGATCAGTCAGCCAAAGCTTCTGAACCTCATTGAGAGAGAAGTAACGTCTCGGGCACTGCTAAAGCGTAGCGTGGAAATCCAAACACTCGTCTGCAATCACAAACATGGTCACAGTGGGTAGGTTGAAAGAGGAGGGCTGGCTCCTGTCTTGTCAACAACGCTCAGTTAAACTCTGAGCCAGTGGAGTACTGTGATGGAAACCTAGCAGGCATTTCCCAAAATGAGAACTCTGCAGAAAGGAAATAAACTTATACAAGTCACTGAAGGAATTTTGAAAAGAACTTCACAGATTACAAACCTATGACACTCCAGTTCCGTTTTCAATGGGCATGATCTATTTAATTACACACTGGGACCACACGGGGCAAAAAGATTCACAGAAGCTATAGAATCTTTGCATAATTCAGCCACAGGACAGATCCCAGATGCATAGGTTGAAACCAAAATAGGAAGAGGAAGCTGAAATATGGAACACATTTTTGAGTCCTTTCCTTATCCCATTTAAAATCAAAGACAGTTTCCTATCCCAAATCTCCATTTTCACTTTGTTGCCCCAAAATGGCAAAATACTATGTAAATATAAGACAGGGCAGCTGAGGGTAAAGTTGTGTTATTTTAAAGTAACCCGGTTCCATGGATAATTCTGCCAGGCCACAAAGAGAATCTGTTTTTGGTACAGTAGACTTCCGATAATCCGGAACCGATAGGACCTAGGTGGTGCCGGATTATCAAATATGCCGGACTATCAGGAGGTACTATAAACTGGTTTTTTATTTATTTTTTATATATATATACTGTATACATTATATACTGTATATAAAGTGTTCTTAACCCTTTTTATTGTACATACGGTATACAGTATACTGTAATGTTTTAGTTTTTTAAGCCTTTTTTACCCTTTTTGCTCAGTTCAGCTGCTGCCGCTGTTACCTCGTGACTCATTTTTTGCCACAGCTCACTCACTAGGCTCTTGCCATTTTGATGCCAGACTATCAGGAGTGCCGGACTATTGGAGTTTTACTGTATTCAGTCTTATATTCTTGGGAGTGAAGTATTTTGATTTTACTATGTTCCCATCCTTTGAGAATTTCTACAGGAATAAACCCTTCTTTCAGCCTCTATAGGCTTTGCCTGGTATGCACTGCCATTGAAAACCAAATTTTAAATGAGCTTAATTAGTATGCAAACAGGACGAAGGAACATACTTCTTCTAGCTTATCTTTCAAAAGAATAGTCGGCAGAGCATTTTTATCACTACAAATCTTACACCAAAACCAATACTGAACACTTGTCAGTGGTACAGCCCTTTAGAATTCCAAAGCCCTTTTCAGTAATACATTCATGGAACATCTGAGTTCAGTAAGTATCTTCATTTCACAAATGTGGAAACGGAGGCAGCGAAAGGTTGAATTACTTGTCCAAGATAACATAGCGAGCCGTGGTCGCAGCTTGAAAAAGAATCCAACAGCTTCAAATTCCCTGGTTAATGCTGTATGCCAAAGCTGGAGTTGCTTTTTTTCCCCCTCCAAACTATTTTTTTTTAATTTCAGGAGGGAGAATAAAAGTGAAACTGACCCTTTAAAAAATCTGAGATCAGGCACAAAGTAAGATCTCTAGCTTCTCCACCAGTTGAAACAGTCTCTGTAGCTAGTAAAGAGATTGTGTGTCTCTCCCTTTCAAACACAGAAGTGTTAGAAGACAATAGCTGAAGCCTTTTGCAAACAGCTGTTGGAGAAGCTGATTAACCTTCTCAATCTCTGCCCATCTCAGTCTGGCAAATAGCAGAGGTCTGAGATTGTCAGGTCCATAGTGTATGCTCCTCCCAGGAAAGAATCAGGTGGGTTTAGCCATTCACAACACACAGCCACAACTACCTACTGCCTCAAAAAAACAAAAAACAAACCAGCACTCAGTTGTGCAAAATATCCCAAGAGCTCTTCTAGCCCCCACAGTTACCGCACATCAGCCAGAGTTCCCAGTCCAGTCGTTGTGCCACACAGGTCAACCGGGAAGAATTGTAACGAGGTTGCCTGTGGAAGTAATTCACTCAAGTTGCAGTTGCAATAACAGCTTTGCTCCAATTCTGTTTTTCCCTCTGCCTCTTCCAAGGCAACACACTTGTGCAACATGCCAGTTTTTCCTTCTCTGAGGCCATTCCTCGCTCTGCTGCTGCTTTGAGAGCTGTGCGGCTGAGAGCACGGGTGAGTATGAGAGACATGGCCTCCCCAAACTGCAGGTGGGGAATTTGCTCCTCCACTCACTGGCCTGGCTGGAGCTGCCCCCCCCACATACAGAAGTCCAACCATGCCTGCTGATAATGGCCCCTACAGCCTTTGGCCCTATCCACACGGCACGTTTGCCCTGGGTCAGTTTCATTTTTGTCGGTTGCAGTACAGCTGGGGTGGGCTTTATTGCCAAGAGATTTCGCATGTTAAACTCAACAGGCAAAGAAGCATTGATAAACGATGCCATGTGTGTGTTCTGGGTCAGAAACACGGAAACCATCCAGGTTGCCCAGGAGAATTTGAGATCATCTATAGGTCAAATCAGCTACAATGCTGGAGTCTAATCATTTAATAGAAGGGAAATTAAAAATTAGACAGTCATCAAATTAACCCTTGTTGGGCCAGTGTATAGTGTCAAAGTTTGTTATCCTAGCCATTCCAAGATTTCATTTGTATTCCTGTAGCACAAAGGAGCCCAAATCATGGGCCAGGTAGGTCCCATACAGCCGGCCTCTGTCCCAAAGAGGTTTCAGGCTTAAGTAGCCATGTTTCAAGGGCAGTCACAAAAGTCTTCCCTTTTCGTTCCTTCCTCATTCTTTGTTTATAAAATAGTCAATACCAGGGGATGGGGGCAACTGATTAAAGCCATGTTAATTACAAAAAGCTCTGGCTAAATATGCCACAAGTAGCAGTATATATACCAGTAGTTCTCAAACTTTTTTTTATCCACAGACCACTTGAAAATTGCTGAGAGTCTCAGTAGACCTTTCCAAATGTTGTTTGTACCACTAGCTGACTATTGCTAAGTATTTTGACTAAAAGCACTGTATAAAAAAACCTGCATAATAATGAAGGGTTTTTCAGTTCTACAAGTAAAGCACACAGCTCACATTTTAACATCAATAGCTTTACCTTTCCAATGGGATGGATGTGCGTGGTTTTGTGAGCAAAGTTCAAGGAAGTTGAGTGTAATGTCTGTCAGCGTTAGCCTTAGGTCAGCTTCAGCATTCCTCCTGCTTCTGGCTTTGGACTTGAGGGTGGTAAGTGATTGAAATCCTGTCTCGCACCGGTCTGTAGTAGCAAATGGCACCAGAAAACACACTGCTTTGTCTGCAAGTCCTGGGTACGCTCCAAAACTCAAGGAATGTCCCTTAAATTCTGATTGTAATGTTTTGTCGCAAGAAAGCTCCAACAAGCCCTCTTGTGCCTTGCTAGACAAACCAAAAGGCAGCTCACTGATTTCAACCCCAAAAGGATTCACATCCAGGTCTTTGGTTCAGGTTCTACTGGAAAGTGAGCTTCAAACTGTTTAAGAGCAGCAAGATGTTCTTCAATGTCTTTTTTTTCCCCCAAGAACCAGTTCATTTTTAGATAGGGAACCTTCCAAGGTTGGACCCTTAGAGGGAACATCACAGAGGTGTTGGACCACAATTTGAGAATCTCTGATATATGCAATACAATGGAGGGCAACACTTAATAAAATCTCAGTGGGGGAGAGATATATGAATTATTGAATACCAGTATAACTCTTATTAACCAGGAAATGGTCATTATTCCTTGTCAGCCTGTCAATTACATATATAACAGGAAGAAAGAAATTTTGATCTTTTCTATTAGAGGGTTTAATAAAACATGCAATCACTGTCTCCAAACTTACCTTCATTTTTCTTGTATTAGTTTCAGTAGTAAGGATTAGCTCCAAGAATTCCCAGGAAGCTATTTAGTTGCTAGAGTTCGAGAAATTTGTTTTTCCTAAGGCAATGTTTAACAAAATGTCTTGAAATAGTAATTGAAAATTTTAAACCAAAAATGTTTAGTTTTTGGCAAATGATCAGTATTCCAGGGTTTGTTTCTATAAAATTCCCCAAAATGTAAAAACCAGATTTTTTTTTCACAAAAGTTCTCATCTTTAAAAAACTTAGATTAATTGGAAAAAATCATTACACAGAAGTAGGGAGGTATGCACAGCAGGGATGAGATTATTGCGGGAATACTATGGCCAGTTCTGATGCTTCTGTAAGGGGGCTGAAAAATTGGGAAAGGTTCAGAAAAAAGCCACAAGAAAGATTTGGGTTCTAAAAAACATGGCTTATAAACATAGAAAGCTCAGCTTAATTAGTTTATCCAAGTGGTTTTCAATCTGTGATCTACGGACCCCAGTATCAGCAGATAATGTATAAGGCCATGTCTTCACGAAACGGAAGATCGATGCTGCCGCAGTTGATCTTCTGGGGTTTGATTTAGCAGGTCTAGTTAAGACTTGCTAAATTGAACTCAGAAGGCACCTCTGAAAGCGGCCAGTACTCCTGCTTCTGTGAGGAGTAAAGGAAGTCAACAGTAGCATTTGCTCCCATCCGTCCTCACAGCAGGAGGCTGAAGGGAAACTCGAATTAAAGTATGTTGATTCTAGCTACATAATTAATGACGCTGGAGTTGCAGATCTTGATTGTTATCTTCCTTTTTAGTGCAGCCCTGCCCTTAGATTTCCAAAGGTAGGTGGTACCTGCACCTCCATTTGACATTTTTTAGGAATCTGCAAATGAAAAAAGGTTTAAAAATATGGATCAGCAAGTACATGGGAGATTTCTAATAGTAGAAGGCTCCTCAGTTTAGTAGGAAAAGGCACAAAAAGATCCATTGTTTGGAAACTGAAGCTAGTCAAATGCAGACTAGAAATAAAGTGAGGGTAAGTAACTGAAATAACTTACTGAGGGATATGGCAGATGTCAATCACTTGAAGTCTTTGTCAGGATGGGATATCTTTCCAAACTTGATACCTTAGCCCAAAGAGAAGTTTTGGGGTTAAATGCAGAAATGATTGACTGAGATTTTGCATAAACAACGAGGAGTCTTGTGGCACGTTCTAGACCAGAGGTTCCCAAACTTTTTGTCATCACACCCCCTTTTTATTTTTGAAAAATCCTCATACCGCCTCCCCCCCAAAAAATAGCAAAACTTGTTGAGCAAAAAAAAAAGGAAGTGACTGGGGCAGCAAAAGCTTGATGGGGGGAGAGCTGGGTCACCTCGTGCCCCCCCCCCCGGAATTTCTTCATGCCCCCCAGGGGAGCACAGCCCCCCTGTTCAGGAACCCATGTTCTAGACTAACAGATTTATTGGAGCATAAGTTTTTGTAGGCAAGGTCCCACTTTGTGATCTGTGTTCTTCACGGGATCAGAACAGATGATCCTATTGGTCCCTGTCAGCCGTACTTTGGGCTCCATATTTATGGACATTAAAATCTGACACAAATAAGTCGAGCTTTCATCAATTAAACCAGGAAAACCCTAAGAAACCCAACAGCATGGACCTTCCTTTCCTCTGTAGCAATGACTGATAGGAATGTTCTTCACTTGGTTCCTGTGTGATGACCCAACCCTTAACAAGAGCTTCCTCCTGCCAGCTGTGGGACGGGACTGGGGAGGGGACCCAGGCTTTCCAGTGGAAGGGAAATGGAGGGGAGGGGAAGTCCTGGCGGGCCCCAGTGTCTGATGGGAGGGGAATGGAGGGGGGAAGGGAGAGGTCCCAGCCGATGCCAGTCTCCCCAGAGGGAAGGGAGTGGGGGAGAGGTCCCTGCCCAGCTCTCTCAGCTGGGCCCAGGCCTTGGAGAGGGAGAGGCAGTGACTGAAGCTGGCGGCTTCTGGCTGGAGCAGGGACAGTGGCTCCTCCTGGAGTTCCAGCCTCTCAGGCCCCCAGGACCTCCCTCCCTGCTTCCCCGGAGCAGGGACAGTGGCTCCTCCTCCAGTTCCAGCCTCTCAGGCCCCCAGGACCTCCCTCCCTGCTTCCCCGTTCCCTGGGCTGCTACTTCCGTTTCCAGGCTCACTGCAGGAGGAGAGCTGGCAGCTCAGCGCGGGCGTTCACCTGAATTTGCAGTTGTGTCTGCGGCCAGGGGAAGGCCTGGGTACCCCCTCCCCCCCCCGACACCACTCGTTGCCATGGCTGCTGGGCGCCTCAGGCACATGGTGGGCGGTGGAAAGCCATCCCTGGTCTCCTGTCAGCGCCGTCCCCTGGGAGCTGGGAACGCAGCCAGAGCTGCCCCATGCGCGCGCTCTGCCCGGAGCCTCTCGCGCACGGGCAGCTGGCAGCACTCAACACGGTCTCCCCAGTGCTGTCTGCTCGGGGCCGCATGGGATGAGCTCTGGGCTTCGTGGGCCATAGCTGGAGCCAGGGGGATTTGCTCCCACAGAAATGGACACTGGAAAAGCTGTTCCAAGTTACGGACGTTTCAGGTTAACGAGGCCCGCGGCAGAGGACCGTTCCTTGGGAAAGCGCCATTTGCTGCCTAGCACTAACCCAGAGCGCTGGAGGTCTCCAACGCACAGGAGAGCGGAGGCGAAGTGAGGGAACCTGCGGGGAAGGTGAGACGGAACAGCGCTTGGCGGTAAGGCATCCGCCAGCCAGAGACTGACGGGCAGTGACCCCAAAGGGCAAGCGTCGCTGTCTCTCAATAAAGCGCTCACGGGCCACTGCAAAGACCACTTCAGGGCAAGGCCTCCACCAGACCATAGGTGAGCGATGGGAAGGAAGAGCAAGGCACGCAGGCTACACAGGAAGGGGTCTGCACAAAAACCCAAGGCCAGGCAACGCTGGAAGAGCCTGAGCAACTCGTGAGCACACCGAGCGGCTTTGCTGACTCTGACCAAGAACAAACATACTCAGACATGAAGAGACACGGTGGCCAGAGAGCCAGGGAAACGTGCCACCCCAGAGGGGAGAGAACTGGCTTCCTTCAGGGACAAAACCCATCATGCTTGGGAAGTTCCACCCTCCTCCTCCAGGAGCGAGACTCCTGCAAGCCGAGCTGTTCAGAGAGGCAGAATGCCCAGGTAAGTCATCTTCCTTTGTTCTTCCTCCACCTTGCTAAGGCGGGTCGGAGATGCAGCCCTTGTTTCCATCCTGTGTGTGTTCCGGCATACGCTGGCTCTCCAGCTGCATCCGGCCACCTTTCTCAACTGTGCTGTGCCGAGAAATTAAACCAATCCAGACTCTGGCAAGAGTCCTGAGTTAATTACTGATTTGCTTCCAAACAGGGGATGAGACATCGCTCAGCCTGGTACAGAAGCTTCTGGGCCAGACGACTTCTTGGGATTCACGTTCTGTAGCAAGCGTCCTCTTCTCGGCCATTCTCTGCAAATCGAGGTTTGCCATCTGTTCGAGAGGGTTTGTTCTTCTCCTTCCGGGGTGTGTGGACATTCCTAAGAAGTCTGGAATAAGTCTTGAATCCTCTGACTCTGACTAGTAAATTGCCATTCATGCATGATTTCTCCAGCTGGAGCTCTTTTCTTTAATAGTTGTGCCAGCAATAAGTCAGGCTTGAGTTTGCATTGTCAGACCATCCATTACTGCTTGCTGGCTTGCTAGGAAACTCAGTTTGTTCCATGAGAATGGTGTTTAACTGCCCTCTAGTGGTAATTCATTTGTCACATCTCAAAATTTCCCCCCACTTTCCATTAGTTCCCCACAATACCCTCTTTTAAATCTTTCCCTTTTGTTTCTTTATTGGGAGTTTTCTGTTCTGTTTTTATTTCCCTCTGCCAGGGCAGTTCCAGGCCTCTGACTTCTTAGTGCACTTAGCAGGGTTCCATAATGTATCTTCATTTACTACTTCATTGTCATCCTCTTGCACAAAGTCTTAAAAGCATTCCTCCTCCCATTCCTGTTGTGCTGCTTAGCATTAGCTCATTTGCGCTGCAGCTGAAAACTCATTTGGGTTTGCTAATTACAAGTTAGCCCCAGTCACTTTGCTTCCCATTCCAACAGCTATTTAATTCTGAGTTGGTTGCTTGGTTGGGTTTTCTGTACCCAGTGCATCTGTCTACAGATTTGTATGTAGGGTTGTTGGAGCCGGGTTGGTTCCCAGATGTTAGAGAGATGTCTCACCCAGCTTGGCTGTCTTTTTCAATGTCACATTTCATTTAGTTATTTAGCTTACCTTAGCCGGTATTTTGGATGAGTTTCTTTTTCTGAAGCCAAACAGTAAACATGAATTGATAATCATGTTGATGAGGGGATGGAGTGGGAACAACAGAAAAGGCAGTAAGTTGAATTGTAACGGCATTTGAATTCATCACAAGCCTTTCTGAGCTGTGAAGGAGATATGTATATCCACTAGGCAACACTGTCTTGGATTAATGTCTATGGCAATTAACAGGCGCTAAATGAGCCATGGCTGGGCCCCTGAAGGAATGGAAATGGAGTACTGAAAACTGCAAGGGCACAGTGAATGCAAAGCTAAATAGTAGCATTCAAGGACAGTGCCCCGTTCTTTGGTTCATATCAAGACCCATGTGCATGCAAATCCTGCAGGCTTCGTGGCCCACGTGCCTGCTTCCCCAGCAAACCCGAAAGAGCAAATAAGTGTAACTGAAGGAAGAATTTGTGTGTGGGGCTCTCCATAAAGCAGGCAGCTTGTAAAATGATTTACAGTGTGATTAGCCCCAAGACAAACCAGACTAAAGTCCCAACAGTCCCGGGGGCCATGTAGCTACTAGGTTATTAATTAACTGTACTGCAGTAGTGCTGAGAAGTCCCAGGAGAGCCCCGGGCAGGAAGTGCTCTACACACCCACAGCAATGAGCAGGAGGTGGAGCCACAAGGGAAGGGGCGGGGCCTCATGGAGTGGGGGTGACATGAGGGCAGGGCCATGAGGAAAAGGGCTGGAGTGGAGACAGGGTGTCGGAAGGGGCAGGGCCATGGCTCCCCCACTCTTAGAGACCTTCCATCACTTCTAGGCAGCAGTGCACTAGTACAAAACCATAGTGCATGCACGTGGTGGCTGGTGCATTTTCTCAACTGGGTGTGCAATATTCATGGATTCATAGGTCCTAAGTCCAGAAGGGACCCCTGTGGCCAGCCAGTTGGACTCGGTGCGTCCCACAGGCCAGAGAGCAGCCCGTTCTGGCTGACTATGAATTCACGGGCCAGGCTGTCTTTCTGAACCACAGAGGATGCTGGCCCAGGGTTCGAGTCCGGGGAGGGAGCAGATTTACATTTTGTCTTGCCTGCCTCACACACAATGCCCCCACCCTTCCCACCCCATCGCCGCTCATGGAGGAGACAGGGCCAGCTAATTCTGCAGCTGCAGGTTCGCATAGCTGTGCCCCTGCACCAAGCACAATTACCATGCCCAGGGAGCTGCCACCCAGGCTGGGCCCAGCCCAGGGAATGAGCTGAACGCTAGAGGACAACGTGGGAGGGGACGACTGTCAAAGAAGAGTAACAAAATTAAGAGGCCAAAATTCTCCCCTATGGCTCCTTGCTGTTAAAATTCAGAACATAAGAGCAGCCAGACTGGGTCAGACCAAAGGTTCATCAGCCCAGGGTCCTGTCTGCCGATAGCGGCCCATGCCAGGTGCCCCAGAGGGAGGGGACAGAACTCAGCACTTTGAGGCTCTCTCCCTGCCGTCTTCTCCCGGCTTCTGGCAGTCAGAGGCTTAGGGTCACCAAAAGCGTATTTCTGACCATCGTGTCTGATCTGGCCCCACCTCGGAGCAGGTCTCTGTGTAAGCGGCCAGCAAAAGAGTCACCCTCTGGAGACGTTGCTCCCATAAAAGTTATGACTCACTCCCCTTGTGTCTCATCTCCTGGGACCGACATGGCTACCACAGCCCTGCAATGCCCCTGTGAAAGCTACGCCCCTCAAAGAGCAGCCTTTCATTGGTTAAACCAGGGCTAGTCAACCGTTGGAAGCCCGGGGGCCCACAATGATATGCACAGCACATGCCGAGGGCCGCCATTTAAGTGTGGTTACATATACATGTAAATACATATGCAAATATATGCAAATAGCTTTTACACTGACAGGCATGAATACAAAGAATAAGGCCAGACTACGCAATATTTACCCAATTTCCACCCATATGACAGAAGACCGTTCTATTGACTCACCGTTGTGGAGCATGTTCCCCATGGAGGCCATGTTCAAAGGATCGCACCCAAGGGCCATGTGCTGAGCCCCATGTAACCCCGAACTGCCCCGCGGGCCGCAAACAGGCTGTGGGCGCCTCGTGTTGAGTAGCCTTGGGTCAAACTGTAACTGCCTGCAAGCAGGAAGAGCATGCACCCCAAAGAGAAGGTGAGAATAAGGAGCAATGGGATGAATCCGAAGAAAGGAAAACTTGGGCTGAGTGTCAGAAAACGTTTCCTGGGGCTATTAGACGAGGAAATAGTTTCTCCAGGGAAGAGCTGAAAGCCTCCTTGTTTAAGTTCTTTTCCTAAGTAGATTAGACAAAGCACTCAGGGTGCAGAGACGGCCCTGCAGAAGCTGGAAGGGGGGATAAGATCCGCCTGCCTCAAGGCTTCCAGACTGATTCCTAGAATGATGCTTGGATAAAACATACAGTTTGCTTGTTTCACAGTTTGTCCCTTAATACCCCTCACAGCTCGCTCCTCTAAGCACTTCCTTACCCTGGTCCCGTAAAAAGAGTCAGAAGCATGGTGGCTTGGAACTAGCATTTAATTCATCTTCTGGACCAAATGACTGGGGCCTGGATAATGACATGTCAGTTTTCAAAAGGGCTCCAGAGATGACCCCTGAAATGACAGGCTGGTGAGCCTAAGGTCAGTAGTATGGGCAAACTGGTTGAAACTACAGTAAAGAACAGAATGATCAGACACAGCAATTCATATAATTTGGTGAGGAAGAGGTTACCCAGTTTCTGTAAAGGGAAATCGTGTCTCACCAATCTACTAGAATCCTTAGAGGGGTGGACAAGCATGTGGACAAGGGGGATCCAGTGTACTTAGACTTTGACAGGGTCCCTCATCAAAGGCTCTGAAGCTGTCATGAGCTACAAGGGAACGTCCTCTCCTGAGCGCACGGAAGTCCCCCGAGAAACACGTTGCATTGAAAGATTCATTTCCTTGACTGCAACGTGGAAGGTCTGGTAGGAATTTGCTACCAAATCTCTTGGTGATTGCCCCATTCTCTGTATTCTCACTGGCCGCTGTTGACAGAAAGGACACTGAGCTAGATGGACCTTTGGTCTGACCCTGTCTGGTTGTTTTTACCCTCCGAGTGGCAGGACAACATGAGGCCATGATAGTGCTTCTTGCTGCTTTTCTCTCTTCCTGCTGCAGAAAGGTTTTCTTTTGGGGTTAGCCTGTGCACCTTTTTGTGTACTCGCTGCTTTACACTGCTCCTATCGATCTTGTTGGCTGTGGGCGACTCAATGTCTGGTTACCCATAAGCTGTGCTACTCTCTGCATGGTTCCCATCAGGGCTCACATGCGAAGCCAGGCTGAACCAATACCAAGGAAAACTCAGTGCACCCAGAAGAGAAGTGGCTTTGGCCATCCAGGAGGGGGCCCTTTTTTCTATAATTTAGGATGAACCAAGGGCCACATGCTGCCTTTCAGATGAGATGCAGAAGGAAGCTCGTAACCACTTTGGATTCTGGTACGTTCACAAAAAACTTCAAGGTGTTGATCCCACTGACCAGGCCAGATTCCCCTCCGATATTATTTTCTGGTTACCTAACTTCCCCCAGCAGTTCCAGTAGGAGGGGGTATTCTTATCCATCTCCACTTCCTGCCCCAGTTACGTAGCCTTACTGCTATTCAGCTCTTCATTTCAGAACAGAGGCGGCAGGGGAAATAGATCCAATATCTAGTTTGTTTGTGAAGTCTGTTGCGGTGGACCATGGAGTCTGGCGTGGGGGATGGTGGGATGGAGGCTTCTGAACACCCCTTCCCTGCAGAAGAAGGAACATCGAAGCACAACAAATCTGGTGGGATCAACAAGACCTCTGCTTCTTCCTTCTGCCTACTCCACGTAAGTCTTTTATTGTTATTGGCCATGCGAGTGGAGTAGTTGCTCTCAGGTTAAAATTCACCTACCACGTTAAATATTCCCACTGGTTTTACTGATAACAGCATAGTTTATAACAACTAGTAGCTGAAACCCCATGATGTCATATAGGTATGGCACCTGGGCCAAGTAATCCCTCATTTGTTTAGTCTCCTTCAAACAATCAATGAAACTGGTGCATGTAAATTGGCTACTGGGTAAGGGTGGAGCTTGGTCGAGTGACCTTTGCTATCACCCTGGTCTAGGACGGTAAGCATGGCAGAGCTACATGCCTCACGTAGCTGTATATCACATGGGTGTAATTCATAAAATCAAAAAGACAAAGACCTTAAAAACGGGATGGTAACAGGTCACAAATCCCGGTGATGACTGAACGTGGTGACACTTTTTTATTAAAGAGCTCTCAACAACATCTGGAGCTATTTCCATCAGTTCACATTGACTCAACAGACATTCTAGGCTTCCAGGTGACACACAGAGTGAAAATATGGGCAACTTATTAGATAGGTAAATCCTGGTCTCCCATGACATTAATGCCAAAACTCCCATTAATTATAGTGGGGCTGGATTTCACCTTTAATTTTCCTCACTGGTGTGCATGTAGCTGATTCACATCATGCATTTCTCGCTGCCTGGACAATAAAAACAGATGAGTCACTTTCCCTTGTTTTTGCTACCCACATTGACTTTCTGGTTCACATATTTTACACACAGATTGCAAACCCGACTTCAATTTGATTGACTTCTTGAAACCGAATAGGATGAGACTATTATAGAACCGTCTCTGGGCATTCTGCTTGCTTCTGGAATTATAAAGATATAGTGCAACTAAAAATATTTTTGTCATCATTAATAACATGAAACTCCCAAGATCCCTTCTTGAAATCCAAGTATTTGCCTGTGACAAGCAATTACAACATCCCACAAGAATTTGCTTGGGAGTTAAAGGCAGCCAAATCTGGGCCATATCCAGCTTTGGAGATCAAGTTGGCCGTTAGCCCGGATCTGAGTCTGAGCATCTTAGAACCTCACTCGCGCTATTCAAATGTGGTGGTTGTAAATGTTTATCTTGTGGCTATTTGGCAGACAAAACGTACCATACAGAGTGATGATATTCGCAGCAGGTGCCGCCTTGGATACATGTTGGGGGAGGCACACTTTCCATAGTTAATGTAAACTTCTGCAGATGCCATGCCTTGGAGTTTAACTGAAGATATTTGAGGGCCCAATGGTTGAAACTAGAGCTGTGCAAATAATGGATTTATTAGGTGGCTAAAAATTCTTAAAAATAAAGATACTGTTTTGGCAGTTGGGACAAACCAAAAATGATGCGGGGCGGAGGGAGGGGGTATTGTGAATATATGGAAAATCGAAAAGTTGAAAAGCATTGCTTTGGGTCAAGTATGTCACCTGATCCAAAACTAAATGTTTTGTTGCAGTTTTGAATATTTTAAAGGTTTTTATTGTTTAAAAATTGAAGGAAATGTCAAAATGAAGTTGTTCCAAATCAATGTTTCAACTTTTTTTCCCCAACACAAACAAGTTGGTGAAACTAATGAAAATTCACAAAACATTTCAGCATTACTGAATCTGCATTTTTTTTGCATGGTGAGAGGAAAAAAGTTTTAGTTGACGAATCTTACCCAGCACTAGTTCAAACACTTATGCATGTGCTAACTGTACTACTGGAAACAGACCCATGATTTCAATGGAATTGCTCAGAGTAGTAAAGTTAAGCATGTACTTTAGGGTACGTCTAGACTACATGCCTCTGTCGCCAGAGGCATGTAGATTAGGCTACCCGACATAGTAAAATGAAGCGGTGATTTAAATAATCGCCGCTTCATTTAAATTTACATGGCTGCCGCGCTGAGCCGACAAACAGCTAATCAGCTGTTTGTTGGCTCAGCGCGCTGTCGCCAGAGGCATGTAGATTAGGCTACCAGACATAGTAAAATGAAACGGTGATTTAAATAATCGCCGCTTCATTTAAATTTACATGGCTGCCGCGCTGAGCCGACAAACAGCTGATCAGCTGTTTGTCGGCTCAGCGCGGCAGCCATGTAAATTTAAATGAAGCGGCGATTATTTAAATCACCGTTTCATTTTACTATGTCTGGTAGCCTAATCTACATGCCTCTGGCGACAGAGGCATGTAGTCTAGACGTACCCTTATGTGTTTTGCAGATCAGGGTCCGAATGAAGAAGCAACAACTCTGTCCTTAGAAGAGCAAGATCTCTTCATGAGTGCTGAGAAGAGTCTCGTTCCAAGCTTTGCTCCCACAAGCCAAAGAAGAGGACGTTGGCAGCTGGAAGAAGGAAACCAGAGGTTATTGGATTGGCTCTGTCTTTCATCTGGACAGCTACCTAAGACCCCTCCATATGTTGCAATTTCGGTCCCTTTATATCTATTTAATAATTTCACACATCCTGGTTTTATAGATGGACAGCCCCTCAGAGGAACAGTACATTGGAAATTCTTTCCTTCTCACTTCTCATTTAAACACCTGTTTTCTGTGCTCAGCAGTTTTGAAAATCAGACTGGTTATTCGGGTGCCTAAATATGGATTTAAGACCCATATTTTAGGCCTTACTTTTGAAAATCTTGGCCATAACCTGTCCAAAATATTCTCAAAGCAGAACTCTCGGTGCTATGCAAAGCATGAGAAATAAGCAGAACTTTATTTTACATGTTCAATAATCAAAGTTTTAAATTTGCAGTCTGGTTTCTGCAAGTGTGGTAAGTGTATGTGCATAATAAACTGGCATGTAAGTGATCGAATCCATAATTGTATGCATCGTATTTGCTTTGTACATGAAAAATGAGACCGTATATCAAAGCACAGCAGAAATAGCTGGGTACAATGTGTTCTCCTCTGTGCAGTAATCCTTTATATGTGTATGTACAATAAATGGCCAGTTCTTTCTCCCATGACTTTAACATGGTTATAAACTATTTTTTACCATCCAGTGAAAAGTGTTTCCTCCTGACAAACGGCTCCTGCAAAGTGCTGGGACGTCTGCCGTCACTCTAATGGGAACTGGCTGGAATCTTCATTCCAGACTTTACAAACTAGCCCAAACGGGGAAGGGGAAACACGCCGCACCCGCATGCCACCGCGCAAGAGCTGTCGATTCTGTGTTCGCCATCGATAAATAGATTGCAAGGCCAGAAAAGGCCATTATGATCATCTTGTCTGAGCTGCTGCATAACGCATCCCCCAGACCCTGACGCAGGAATTTCTGCATTCAGCCCAGACCTTCTCGTGCGGCCGGAGCACTGTTAGAAAGACACTGTCTTGAGTTAGACACGTGATGGAGAATCTATCACAGCCCTTGGTGATTCCAGTGATTAATTGCCCTCATTTTATTTCTAGTCTGAAATTGTCTAGCTTCTGCTCCCAGCCACTGGGCCTTGTGCCCTTTTCTTCCTAATTGAACAGCCCTTTACCCATGCAGGTGCTCGTAGACTTTGATCCACTTGACCTTTCCTTGGATAAACTAACTAGACTGAGCAAAACCCACAAGGAGATGGGTGGCACTCTAAAGGCAAACACATTAATTCATTTGTATTATTAAAATTTATTAATGTATAAAATTATATACATTACATACCCATGTATATACAATTATTATTAAAATTATTAATTGGAATAATCAGTCTATTAAATTATATTAATTAAAATTAAACACAGCTACCTTTCTGTAACTAGACTGAGCTTCTTTAGCTCACTTGTCTCATAACAGGGCATCTTTCCCTGAACACTGAATTTTCTTTGTAGCTCCTTGCTGATCCCAATGCCCTTCTAAGCTGCACACCTGGGCAGGGCTAATCTGCCTGCTGTCAAACCTGGTAGCGCCGTCTCAAGGCAATGAGTCATGAATCAGGCTGCAAAGACGGCAAAGTGCTACTTGCAAGGGTGAGTCTGAGTTCCGACCGCTCAAGACTGCCCAAAGGTGGAATCAGGATGGCGTCGACCAGTCTGGTTAGCCAAATGTTGCACATCAAAATGAGGGATTGCACAGACCTTAAGCCTAGCGCCTTTCCCCAGTTTAGTCATTCGTACATCGGTGGTTTATTGGCGGTGTGGCCGTTAATGCACAGACTTGCGGCACGTGATGCTACGTGACACGAGCAGAGTGTGTGACATGGGTATAGTGTCATGGGAAAACAGCCACACGTTGCCAAATAGCTGCAAACCAACACCCCCTCCTCATCTGTCGACTCTGCAGGGCTCTGCTCAGACCAAGGGCCGCCCGTGGATCCGAGCGTGGGCGTGGTGTCCAAGTTGGGAAAGACAGGCAGGCCAGTGGGTGAAATTGAGAGTCTGCTGAGGCCAGTCGCCACAGGGCCACGACTTCAGCCCACGTTCCTTGGGTGGCCAGGTACTGATTGGTCCATGCAGGGCCAGGCTTAGAAATGATGGGGCCCTATGCAACTGAGGATTCCTCCCAGCCTCTACCAGAGTCCAGGTGCATCCCTCTGCCTTTTTCCACCCACGGCTCCTACAGGGGCTAGACTAGAAGCTTATCTCCATCCCTCCTCTTTGCTGCTTCCCAGAACTGAGGGCTTCCCTAGTGGAGCTGCAGAGGCTGGGAACTCCTCTCTGTCCTGCATCCTGGAGCTTCCCTCTTGCCCCTCCCCTGTGCTGCTTTCCTCCCCTCTCTCCACCCTCCCACAGCTGGAGCAGAATTACAGAGTCTGGGGGCTCCTCTCTGCCCCCAGCCTGGCAGCAGGGAGCCCTCTGCTGGCCAAGAGGAGCACGTGTGGAAGGGGCAGGGGGAAGCCCTGCATCACCCAGGGGCATACAGGTGCACTCAGCTGAGTAGGGGCAAATTGTGGTGCCCCGTGTTTTCAGGTGCCATGTATTTCGCGTGGCCCTGGGGACGTGGCGCTGCTGTCAGGTGCTTGTCTCTGTGTTCTGCCGCCCTTGGCAAGGGGCTGGCTTCTCCAGGCAGCGGATCCGTATCTGCTTTTGCAAAGGACAAAAGAAATGTCCTTCTCAGTGCCTGATGCCGACTGCTCGAGATTCCCAGAGCGGTGGGGTGAGATCTTGCCGACAGGACTTCCCTCCTTGCTCCTGAATGGCGGGGTGCTAGCGTCGACTGGGGGCGCCCTCAGCGTTCGATTGGACAGGTCCTTACTAGACCCGCTAAATCAAATGCCAGAAGATTGATGTCTGGTGTGGTAAGTATAGACATGGCCTCAGTGTCCGTCTACCCCCGATCCCTCCAATGACCATTCCCAGGAGCCAAACATAGTTGCGCTGTTAGTCCCAGACTCCTCTTGTCCCCTTTCCCCTCCAAGCAACAACGCAGCTGCAGGAGGAACCAGAAAAACCAGCAGAAAGCAGCGGCAGTCGGAGAGGAAAGGTTGATCCTGAGGAAGGAATGTTCGCTGGAAATTACAGGACGAGGTTTTGATGCCATGGCCCGTGAATGCCAGCGTGACACAGCCTGTAAATTGGTTATTGTCCGCTAAGGATCAAGCATTACCGGAGCTTGAAACTTGAGAGAGGCCGTCTGAAAGAAACTCGTGAGGAATGCTTTGGCCTGCCCAGCCGGGGCGGGCTCCTGTGCCGCATTGGGCAAGATACACAACAAGCAGGTCCTGTTAGAGACAATACTTCCCAGAGGAGGATTTTACTAAGAAAGAAATAGGAAACTTCCTGGGAGATTTCATTGACAGAACTGTTTACAAGGAGCTTTACAGAGACTCCAGCAATTCAGGGGTTAAGTGGGTCTCCATTTATATGCATGGGAGCTAAACTAGAGTCCACGTGAGCTCCTGTACGGCTCTTGGCTAGCAGGGCACAGTCACAGGTGACACTCTGTTGCAACTACTGTTCTAACCTCCCCTGTGTTTGATTAGTTTACAGACAGAAGCTGGGTAGGAGAACACCTCCTGTCTTGGCACTGCAGACTGCGCTGCGCCCCAGAAGCAGCTGCAGCAAGCCCAGCTCCTGGGGGAGCACACAGAGGACCCTGCGCTGCTCTTGCCCCGAGCACTAGTCCTGCACTCCCATTGGCTGGGAACCTGCTACCGGCTGCTTCTGGGGGCAGCATGGTCGTCTGTGCCAGGAGGGGAAGGAAGCTGCCTTAGCCCCCCCGCTGCACTGCTGACCGGGAGCTGCTCAAGGTAAGCCCCTTCTGCCCCAGCCCCGCCCCCCGCACTCCAAAGCTCTCACCCTCAGCCCCACCCCAGTGCCCATGCTCTAGTCAAATTATGTTGGGTTTTGGCAGCACAAATTTTCTTCAACTGGGCCATGAGACAGACAGTTTGAGAAGCCCTGGTCTAGGGGTCCCCAGAGATCCTGGGTGCTTCTGTCTCTTGGCTGAGATCTGGCAGCAGCCAGCGGATGCTGGAGGTTTGCTGCTGGCCCCGACTCCGAGTTTGTTGGACACAGATAACAGGAGTAGCCGCTGCTGACACATGCACTGCGGCCCGCTGCAGCAGCAGCTCGTGCAATCTAGCCAGGGAGCTGTGCGTCTGGAACATCTCGGACCTCTCGCCGTCTGGCTCTGCCCACGGGAACGGTGCAGCCCCCACGCATGCCACGTAGCCGGAACGCTGCCCTTCCTGGAGCCATCTGCCTCCTGCTCTCAGACCCCAGAGGCACCTGCCAAACCTGAGCAGGGGGGACCTCCCCCTCACATGGGCGCGCCTGCGTAGCCAAATCCGCACCATTCCACTGGCCCGGGGTGCCCAGGGGGAAGGTGCTGGAGGATGGCAAATGTTCTGTTCTTTTGGGTACACAGACATACCCTGGTAACTCACCAGGCCTTCTCGCGCCTTAAAGGGACATGGCCAGCAGGACTGGCCTTACCATGAGGTGATCTGAGGCGGCCGCCTCTGGTGCCAGACTGGGGGGGGGCGCCACTAGGACCCAGAGTGTAGAAGTTTTGGCCCAAGTGAGGAGACATGGGGGCGTCATTTGAGCTCCCCACTTCAGGTGCCAAAATGTTCCGTGCCGGCCCTGCCGGCCATGAGGAAACGTTGCTACTAGCAGCTCTGACTGCGAACGGTGGAAGAGGTGTAAGGGCAGGAAGGTGCTCGTCTCCCGGTGCCTTCGTGCGTTACTGTTTAACCGAACAGAGACGGGGGGTTCACGTCTGGTTCCCAGAGCACTGGCTAGCTGCCGGCTCTCGCCGGGGGATGTGTACGGAAGAGCCGGGTCGGTTTCCGGGACCTTTGGCAAACGGTGGCAGTTTTGCTTTGGCGGATGTTAGGTTTTGCACCGAAGCGGCTGCCGGGTGATGCTTTGCTCGCGAAGCGATGAGCCGTTTTGGCACCGGTTAGCCTGTGCTCCTTTCCACCACTCCGGAAACGGGGCCGAGGCGTGAGGCTCTGACAGGCGGGAACCGTGTCGCACGCCCGGGATGCGAACGCTCCGTGTCAAGTATCGTTGCCGTTCTTTCCAGGGGGCACTGAGGAATGACAGTAACACGGGCGGATGTCCTTATGCATGGAGTGGCTGGTTCTGACTCGGTCTCCGGTGCTCCGGCTCGCTAGTGACTGCTGGTGAGAGGCATTTGCACAGCACCGGCGCTACTGCAGGCCAAACGGTAAGTCTCTGGCTAACACGGTTCTGATAGCGACTCGGAAATGGGGGAGTCGGTAAGTGACTGGTCTAGCCTAGTCGATGACGTCTTCTGCCCCTGGCGGGCTTGTAAGGACGTGACCTAGCCGCCCTTGACCTTGAGGGGAGCCCGTAAACCACGTGCTACAGGCTTATCCTGTTGATGGCAAAAGGGTCTGGATTCAGTTTCCTTGTCTCCTTGACCCTCGATGGGGCTTGGACTCCTGCCTGGCGAATGTCCCACTAGCATATGAGGGAGGGCTGAGAGCATGCGCCCGCGTTTCCCTCGAGTGCAGTGCTTGGCAGAGCCGCTGAGCCGAGCCTGCCCTCGGTGTTTGGTCGCCCCCAACCCAGCCAAGACAAAACTAGGCAGCTGCAGAAGCTGCCCTGACAGCCTGCTCAGGAGCGCTCAGCCCAGCTATAACCACGTTGCCTGCCCTTGGATCTTTCCAACGCACAGACAGAGCAATGGCTTCCACCTGGCAGTCAGGCTGCACCGCCAGGACGGGGCCAATCCTGCCCCCCTTGGGTTTTCAGGTGGGGGAAGGCGTGTGTGATAGGCTCTGGGGGCGGAGCCAGAGCAGGGGGCGGGGCCTGCTGGGAGAGGCAATTGTGGGGCCTCAGCAGATATTGACAGCGATCACCCAGCTGGGTGGCCTGTGAGGTGAGCCGGGGGGGAGGTGGCGCTTCCTTCCTACCCCCCATGAGGGTGGCACGAGCCGCCTGGCATCCCACTTGCTCCCCCCGCAAATGTTCTGCCCCACAGATTGAAAAGCTCTGCTCTAACCGTTCACTCGAGCCAGGATGTGAGCCCGCCCCCTGCTGGACGCTACAGAACCGGCTCCATTCATCCCAGGCCCTATTGGTTCAGAGCGGTGGATCCCAGGTTCGCGCCCCGCTTGCTCCCACTGTGCCGGGTGCAACTGTCTGTTCAGAAGAGTGATTTGTGATGGT